ATACACTATTCATATGTTACTCACATATAGTGTACACTAATATAATGAATATTTGAAAAAACTCCTGGGTGATTCAATAACCACGTCATGTTTATAATATCCCCTATTTCAACCTGAACGCTTTTAGGCCATACTATTTCACAGCTATAATAATATGACATTTTGTGTGTGCACTGAATAATCAATTTATCGCAGCATTTGTTTTGTTGGGATTGAAACACATTTATTATATTTATAATAATTAAATTTTTAACGTCAAATAAAACCGAGTTTTAAAATATAATAAAATTCTAATTGAATTTTAAAATAATATAAATGCTTATACATTAGATTATGCTTAAATATTTATTATAAATATGATAATTATATAATTATATGATCTCAAATTATTCAGACAGTACTTACTTAAACATTTGTATTATTAATTTTAATTATTTTATCTTATGAACATTTTACAAACCTGTTAATTGGCCCATATAATATATTATGATATAAAGTATGCAGTTTATACTTGTATTGATAATGTCAACTCTTTAAGTCAAATTTTATAAAAAGTTTTATTATTTGAATAAAAATAGTTATTAAATTGCTATAATATTCTATATTTTATATTTAATTTATAGATAATTCCAATCCAGTTGTAATAAAAACTAATTTTAAATGCATTTTCATTAACCCAAAGCATTTCATTGCATTAGAAGTGATCATAAATTATATTTTGTAATGTGATGTATAAATTATATTTATAATAATATTGCATAATTACTTTATATAATGATAAAAAAATAAAACACAACTCTCTTTGGATTTAATATTAAGCATAATTAACGACAAATATTAAATACATAGTTATTTATATATTAGAATTATTTATATCCATTTATTCATCTAAATGAAAATATTCTGTTATAATGTAATTATTTTGTTTAACCAGTAAAGGAAATTATATTCTGATCAAGATTAAAAATATTTACCTGACTATTTGGTACACAAATCAAATAAATCTGTTTATATTTACATAACATTTCTGTTGTTATAAATGTTGAAAGAAAAAGTTAAGTTAATTTTAGATGAATTCAATGATTAATGACATTTGTTTTGTTGGGAACTGTTTTGTTGGGTAAGCGTTGAGAGAGGATTGGATCTCATTTACAATTCTGATCTCTTCCTCACAATATTTTGCTACAATTTTTTTATAAGAAAGTTCAGCGAATGTGTGCCTCATTTGGTGGCAAAACTCAATAACTCATTGAGTAATAAACACTCTTACCGTTCATGTCTTTCAATGGTTAGTAACTCTCAATCAAATACTAAATTATTTCCATATCTAATACATTGCGGAACGAAACGAGTGTTAAATCAATCAAATTCTTAATAAACATATTTGACTATCGATTGGAAACATAACTAAACGATCGCTACAATTAATGTGTTATTTATGCCATAATATACACCATTTAGTTATGCATAGAGTTTATAGACCGAAACGTTAAAATTAAATTCAATAATTGCGTGAACTTTTAGACTTAAAATTTAGTTAATGAAAACTAATGATAGAAATAAATGCAAAACTGTTTATCAATCACATAATTGACATTTTAATAAACTTTTATAACATAACATAAGTTTTGCGTGAAGTGTAATGAATTGGTCGGCGAATCAATCCATAAATACATAGACAGAGAGAGAAGTGTAACATAAAAAGGCCAGAATAGGAGGTCTTTTAGCCATCGCATCAATTTTATTCACTGTCAACATAACAAACAAAACAGCATTTTGTGCCCCATTTCTGGCCTCATCTCAGATAACATTGTGTTCTGACGGCCAATACGTTTGTTATGCCGTTTGAGTTGTGTTTTAGTTTTGGGACTCAAATATTTGACAATAAATTATTGTTCGCTAAGAATCCGCACATTTATTATCGCATGCATTGCGGTCTCCGATAATAAATATATACAAAATCATTACTTTAAACGATTCTTACATTAATCTAAACGCGAGTAATAGAAGTGAATAAGTGTTTTGTAGAGTCCATACAAAGTCCATACAATAGGCATTTGTATCGACTCTTTATTCTTCTCTTTTGATTGTCTTAGGAATCGAGGAAATGGTTGAAAGAGAAGCCAATCCTTCCATCTGTCTGTGAGTCTCAGTATTAGATCCAAAAACCAAACGTCGGGATCGATATTCTCATGAATTTAAGTCGGGATTACAGTATTAAAGCAGTGATGGATTGACATTAAACCCAAATACCATATTAAATATTTATAAAATATATTTATCTGTATTTGTATCACAATTATTACTATTGCATGTTTTAAACATTAGTTTATAGCCGTATAGTGTATAAAATTAAATAAAGATTATAATAAAAATAAATCACTGAATAAAACATAACTTGATTACTAATTTCTAACTTAATTGCACACAAAAAGCAAAAGCAAATGAGTTTTTGTATATAAAATAAATGGCAATAAAAACTACCACTTTTTGATATACTCTTTCGGCTTGAGATAAATCTCATCCTCGGAATCATTAGTATTGAAATATTTCGAAACAATCACTTTCGGCGACAAACTGTGCGGATATTTAAATTCCATCAAATGTGTGCTATTTCTTGCCCTTTAATCAAATAGAAATTCAATTCACTTTTATTATCAAAGAGAGACATGTTTTATGTGTTTTTTCTTACTTTGACCTTAGGTTTAGTGCAATTGATATTACAATCAATAAGAGAGACAAACCAATAGAGAAGACTATAAGTGTAACAATTATGCGGTGAAATGTCCAGTGATAGCTAACCCAAGACAATTGCAAATAACATTGGGTGCCATTGAATGTAGAATAATGAGAGCACTGACACCTTTTGCTCATCTCATCCGATGGCAAGCAATGGGAATTAGTGTCCAATGCCTGACACTGTCGGTCCTCAATACAGGTCTCATTATAACCGACTAATTGATAGAAACAATACGATTAAACGAGTTAATGAATATATAAGATATTATATTACCCATTGGATAGCAATTGCGATCACCGGCTGTATTGCTCTCGATATCTATGTAATTGAGATCGCATTCACAGAAACCAAAGTCATTGCAAATTAAGTTTGCGCTCCGATTGCACTCATTCTGTTGCCCACAGATATCACCAAAGCTTTGATTGTTATTAACTTCGGTCACTATTTCTGCCGTTATATTCATTTCCAACGCAAGTATTGACACCATTTTATAGAAAAGTAAAACTATACACAGAATATTGACTTTGAATATCATTTTGTTAATGAATTATTGGACTTTCCTTTTGATGAGAATAAAATTTGCAAAAATTAATTAAACACAATATCGTTATTAATATGAAATTGAATAAACAGAAGCCATATTACAAATATTTAAGGCAATCGTTGACTAATGCTTGCGATGTATGTAATCGACTAAATCATAGAAAATTGCTGATTATCTCCCAAGTGATGATATTTTTCATATATCATTGTTATGTCTGTTTGTTTTTATTTTATTTTATTTGACGTCAAATATTGGCAATGATTAAAATCTAATTACATTTAATACATATACATTTAAAGTGATACATCTCAGGTCTCATTATAACCGACTAATTGATAGAAACAATACGATTAAACGAGTTAATGAATATATAAGATATTATATTACCCATTGGATAGCAATTGCGATCACCGGCTGTATTGCTCTCGATATCTATATAATTGAGATCGCATTCACAGAAACCAAAGTCATTGCAAATTAAGTTTGCGCTCCGATTGCACTCATTCTGTTGCCCACAGATATCACCAAAGCTTTGATTGGTATTAACTTCGGTCACTATTTCTGCCGTTAAATTCATTTCCAAGGCAAGCATTGACACCATTTTATAGAAAAGTAAAACTATACACAGAATATTGACTTTGAATATCATTTTGTTAATGAATTATTGGATTTTCTTTTTAATGAGAATAAAATTTGCAGTAATTAATTAAACACAATATCGTTATTAATATGAAATTGAATAAACAGAAGCCATATTACAAATATTTAAGGCAATCGTTGACTAATGTTTGCGATATATGTAATCAACTAAATCATAGAAAATTGCTGATTATCTCCCGAGTGATGATATTTTTCATATATCATTGTTATGTCTGTTTGTTTTTATTTTATTTTATTTGACGTCAAATATTGGCAATGATTAAAATCTAATTACATTTAATACATATACATTTAAAGTGATACATCAATACTGTAGTTAGAAATATAAAATGTACGATAAGTTAAAGGTATTTGTGATCAAGGTATTTGTGACAATGATAGCAAGTTGTTTTAATAAATTAAAGAATTGATACGATTTTATATTATTGAAATTTCATCATTTATTTATTTTCAAATCAGATTTGAACACAATATTTAAAACAAATGGAAATAATTCTATAATTCAGACCTAAATATCACAAATGAATTGTTTAGTGATTAATAAAATTAATAATTTAATTGAAGCAACTTTACAACCAATACTAAAAGAGCTGTTACAATATTTAAAACAAATGGAAATAATTCTATAATTCAGACCTAAATATCACAAATGAATTGTTTAGTGATTAATAAAATTAATAATTTAATTGAAGCAACTTTACAACCAATACTAAAAGAGCTGTTCTTGTCTTCAGAGGGAAGTAATTGAGGCATTTTTGGACACAACTATATATAAAGGCTAATCAAAATAATAAGTCAAAACCTATTAATACTGTTTATAACTATTAACTATAGTTATTTCACTACACAGGGGGTGATCAGGACTTTGTTCCCTTTGGGTGTCTATAAATAAGGGCTAACTAACAAAATAATAGCATAATTTTTGGATCAATTAATGGTTTGTTTCCGTCATTATATCCGCAATAAAGTTAAGCCGTATTTATGGTTATTATCTAAATTATGTCATTAAGTGTTATACAATATATGGTAAAACACTTGTATTGTCGTCGCTATTATGGTGGTGATGGTTGTGGTGATGATTGTGGTGATGGTTGTGGTGACTGTGCTGGTGATGATGGCTATGATGTGGCTTAAGATGTGAATTGTCTAAACTAGTGCTGGATTCATGGATCGACTGCCGCAAGTTTGGGGCGGATTTAACTGTATGTAAGCTCTCATCGACTTCTTCGATGAAATCGACACATATTTTTGGCGGCGCTTTCGTTCGGTGGAGGAAGGGTTCCGATAAGTGGGCGATTGACGAGTGCATTGAGTGCATCACTTCGCTGTGCAGGTGGAAGAATATCGGGGAAGGCTATTTCAAGTTATAGTAGCTGTTCATCCTGTTGGGCTTATACTAGGTGTTTTGTTGGTAGTTAAACATCTAGTGTTAGGTACAGACCGGCAGTATTAACGGATAACAATACATCGATCAATAGAGAGACAAAAAAGCTTGTATTAGAAAATTGGGCATTAATTGTAAGCACTAATGGTGTGTAAGTGTGTGTTGAGTGCAATACCTGCAACATAATCGCCGAAACCAATGGTTGTCAAAGTGATGAATGAATAGTAGAAGCTCTCGAGGAAAGACCAGCGCTCTATGAATACGAATATAACGGACGGAATGATTAGGAATACCATAAACCAGGGAATGAAGAACAGGATCCCTGTCTCCACATATCGGAAAATGATGGTTGGATTCTGACTATTCTTGTATTTTGTTTTGATTTGTTTGATGCGAATCGTAAAACACCGGCTGAAGAGACTGCCGATCGCACCCAACAGTACGCCAGTCATGGGTATACCGAAGAGGGCGTAGAATAGTGTGAATATCTTGCCGGAAGTGGTGGAGGGGAGGAAATGGCCGTAACCTATGGTTGTTATCACTGTTGTCGAGAAGAAGAACGAGTTGTGGAAATTCCAGTTCTGATTCGTCAATACCCCGAACTGATCGACGAGATTCATATCCCGGGCCACCAAATACTTGTGGACCATATCCTTGAATTCCCTTAACGTTACGTTCATATTATCGCCCGAAAGTTTTTCTGAAATGCAATTACATTATAATTTTAAGTCTAATTAAATGAATTATTAGGTTTAGTCATTGTCTCCTCTCTGTCTTTATTGCATTTTGTGTTCAAATGTATGCATTTTATGTTTCAAAGCTGAATCTCAATATACAAAAAGGCTATTAACTGTTAATACTGTTAAATTTAAACATGGTTATAGTTGTAGTTATAATTCTATTATAACTATCTTAATCCAACATAGATTATTAATTAGTTTTAAATTATAACTTTTACATTTATCATAATTACTTTATAATTATCTGGAAAATCCCGTGAATTATGTAATTAATGATTTTGTTTTAAAATATCGCTTTTAATATCAAAACTTTTCTAATAATTTGCTGAATAATTTCGTTTAATTAATTTGTTTATTGTCTAACATTTGTATGACGTTTGATATATTACTAAATTTAAAGTTTATATGCGTTTATTAAGTTTTACAAATTAATATGACGTGTGATGTTTGTAAACATTTGCTTTTTTAAACATTCAAATGTTATTATGTAAATATTATTCAAACATTTATCATTAAAACTTAATTATTAAAATGTGTATTTTAAATTTTAATATATTAAGAATTACACAATAAATGAAATAACAATTTACAATAACTTAGACTGCTGTATATTTTTAATAAGATATGCAAATATAATATGATTTTAACTTTTAAAATCACATTAGGTCAAACAACTAATTTTAAACTACAAAAAATATGTTATTATTAAGAAATTAGAAATTGTTTATCTTATGTCACAAATAATTAATTAATTTCAGGATTTGCTAATACAATATTTTAATATGAATTTTCATGTTTTAATGACTTCATATTAAATATATTATTGTTTTTATGCATTATTTTATCGTAAATATTATTGGCAATGATCTTTGGTTATTCACGTGGATTTTATAAACAGTTTAGTGTTTTAGTGGTATAATTAGTGCAAATTAACATTGATTTATCATAAATATCAATCTCATCAAATAAAACAAGTGATGCTATTATATAACTTATAACTATTTCAGTCTTTGTTTGAGTGGACAACTTATGGCAACTTATATAAAGTAGAGCTATAGTTGGCAGCAATATTTGGCAAACCATAAGCTGTTGACAGGAAATCTCGAAAATCAATCAAATTGTGTGAATTAATAAAATTGTCAAATCATCTCTCAATGATTCAAATGTTTACGGTTTTTCAATACTTAATTGAAATGTAATTTATTGAATATTTAAATCTAACAGTTGAAGTGAATATACAGGAGAATACACATCAAAACGAATTCCTTAAACTCGTTATGATTGCAAAGGAATTCCCTGAGAAATGCCTAACAGTAACCTTAAATAATGTTTGATTAGAAATATTGCATACCAATATATTTTAAAATTTTATTGATATAATTTATTGGACATTTCCATCACAGCTCCCAAAATAGATGTAAACGAAACTAATTGACTAAAAATAGACTTCAAGGATCATATGGTGAAAATTATTTTATGGAAATGTTTATTACAGATGTAAAGTCACTACTAATTATGACTACAGTATTTACAATATTTAAAACAAATGGAAATAATTCTATAATTCAGACCTAAATATCACAAATGAATTGTTTAGTGATTAATAAAATTAATAATTTAATTGAAGCAACTTTACAACCAATACTAAAAGAGCTGTCCTTGTCTTCAGAGGGAAGTAATTGAGGCATTTTTGGACACAACTATATATAAAGACTAATCAAAATAATAAGTCAAAACCTATTAATACTGTTTATAACTATTAACTACAGTTATTTCACTACACAGGGGGTGATCAGGACTTAATCACTGTTCCCTTTGGGTGTCTATAAATAAGGGCTAACTAACAAAATAATAGCATAATTTTTGGATCAATTAATGGTTTGTTTCCGTCATTATATCCGTAATAAAGTTAAGCCGTATTTATGGTTATTATCTAAATTATGTCATTA